AGAATAAAAACAAGGTGATTGATGAAGACTGCGCATATTTATGAATACCTGGAAATGGCTCTGAATGGACAGAAATAGAACGAATGGATGGGAATGGAAGCGAATGTCTGAATAAGTTTTTTCCTCTTGAGGACACCACTCTGGTATTCGTGGCACACGACTGGGCTACTAGTAGACTCATTGCCACATTCACTGGATGAGTGCATGCGGATGATATGACTTTTCCCCGTGCGTGCATGAGCTTTATGCTCGACACGACGTCATCAGGACAGTTCCTAGTCGCACACGCCTGTGAATAGCATAGCCATTTCTTTAATTGGTTCGCCATAATTTATTTGATAGAAAAGCTTGTTAATATGTTCCTATAGGATTGAAATGTGGAACTGACACATTCTCGTTAACCTCATTAAACTAATATTAAATACGTAAAGTGAAAGATTTTCTGTAGACTATAATGTTTCGAAGGATAATCGATCACTAGAGTAAAGAACTTTCTAAATTCTGTATTTCCAACAGACAGTTCCTGATTATTTTTCAAAATTATAATGTACTCAATTTTGCAAAAAAAAACTTAAGAAATCTGACGTCTATTTTTGTCGGTTGCTAAAATCTGTATTGGGAGGGTTGTCTGTAATGGAAAGAAAGTGAGGAGCCGCAAAATCTCGATTTAAAACTTACACTCACTATTTTTTCGAAAATATCCGTGAGTTCCACAAAAGAAAGGAAAAACCTTCTTAGCGCAGCCCCTTTGAAACTGAAGTGTAACTCACGCATGTTCTTCGGCTTCATTATACTAATATGAAACATAGAAAGTATAAAATCAAAAATTTCTAAGTTTTTTAATTTTCTGACAGGCGCCCTTGTTTTTCGTTTTCATTGTTGCTATTCTTTCAATATTTTTCATTTCTCACAATTTTTTTTGTCTTAATTTTATATTTTTTTTTATTATAATGATTGAATTAATTGATAAATACATCTGTTTTACATATCGATTATATCTACAGTAAATCTTATCCACTATTATATATATATTAACCAACTCACAAATAATGATGTTGATTATCTTTCAAAATTATAAATTGATCGATTTCGCAAAAAGCTATAGAAAGTCTGACGCCTGTTATTCTAAATTGCTAAGGTCTGTAATGGGGAGGGGGAAGCCGCCAAAACTTGAACTTAAAACTTACACTCACTATTTTTTACAAAAATATATGTGAGTTCCACAAAATAAAATTAATTCTTTGTTTTGAGTCTATTTCGTAGAAAATCGTTATACACAGTGATTTCAATATTCAATGACATAGAGATTCCCATGATGATCGACAGACAAGCTCTGAAGACAGTTCAACTCACCATTTCCACCCACAATGATAGTTTCATGTGTCGGTGCTTGAGGTTACCGCTCATTCGATTATTCTCCTCTTGTGCCGCACAGACGGTACCCAACTTATCGACGAATAGTCCGTTAGAATACGACAATTGTGTCAGAGCATTCCCATTGTCTTGACTCTCAGCAACAACAATTCCTTCTTTTACACCTTGATTCCATTTCATTATACGGTGATTATAGCTGTCTGACACGTAGACAGTCTGTTGTTGATCAACACAGACGTAAGTCGACTTGTTGAGTTGATTGAGACCAATATCTTTGTTATTGTCACCGACCACGATAGTTCCATTCTTGTCTCCTTTTTTATATCGTCTTACTTCCGATTTACCGGTGTCAGAGACGTAGAGATATCTCTGCTTGTTCATGACCAATTTCCCATTATCACTGTGATCGATGACGATTTCTCCTTGAATTGTATCACTACGATGAGACCATCGTAGGACTCGTCGATTGTATCGATCATCAATAATGAGACTATCCATGTCTTTGTCGATCAATACATCAATTGGATGATCCAATTGGTCCCATCGATTTTCTTTGCCTTGGCTATCATCAGCAATGACTTGCCTATTCGTATCATCCATCTCTCATTGGATGATACGATGGAGTGTGGGTGTGGGTGAATATATGCTCCACACCCACACCCTCGCCCACAAAAAATGAGATCATAAATAAAACATTCTATACAATTTTATCACAAGATTTAATATTGTATTGTCCGGTACAATCTATACAACGATTATATTATTGATCTAAAAGAGTAAGAATAGAGCGAACATAGAAAAGTATGAACTAATTGAATTCTAAGTTTAGGAAAAACTCAACACATTAAATATCAAAATTCGCTGAGAGATAGATTGATGTGCTTGGAAGCGTACCAAACAATTAAATCAAATATGTATAACAGGTTAAGATGATGGTCGAGCGGACACAACAAAGAATAAAATGGCATTAGCCGTTTACTGTGGCATGTATAATCTATATTATCATGAGGAAGAAAAATTTATCTATTAAAGATATATCAGGTAATACAAATAATTTTTTTCAGAATAGTGATATTAAATCAATCTAATTGATTGTTAGAATAATAATTGTGAATGAAAAGGTTTTCAAAACGATACAATTTAGAACACACGTATCAACAATAAAAATGGTTATAATTTTTATTTTTTCATTATTTTAGTAGTTTTTAAAATTATTTAATTGAATCTATCTGATATAAAAGTCAGAGTTGATAGGTTTCATACATTGGCCTCTTATGAGACCGCACATATAAGTTTTTCGAATTATTAAACAGAAAAACGATCCTTTCGTACAGCCAAATGAAAAATCTGTGGGTAGGTGTTATATTTTAAATACCCAGGGTATGAGTGTGGGATGTAGATGTGGGTGCTGACTTTCAGCGAATGAAGACCCACATTTCACTCACAACCACACAACCACACATCCACACAATCACATCCACGATGAATCGCGACATATAATGCAATATGGTGAAGGAAACCATGTTCAGTTGTATGTATATCGAAACTTGTAGAGTATATTTTTTCTACGAAGAAAGTTTCTTCAATACTTTAACTATAATGCATTCGATAGATCATTCCAAAACCTACAAAACTAGCTCATTTTCAATGTTAGAAAAGATGAGTTATTAGATGAAAAAGGTCAAATATAATGTTAAAATCCATAAATAGTTTTTTATTTCTCAAAATTTAATATTTTTTGTTCTTGAGAACAATATTTGAGGCACAGGTTGCGTACGATGTTTAAAATTGAGATGTTCGAAATCCTTTTCTATAATTTTCATGTTCACTTTTTGATATAAATCACACTTTTTTAAAGATACTTGACGTGCTTGTATGCAAATAATACTTAAAATTCAACAAATCTAAGTAGAAGCAAAGATCAGTATTTTAGAAAAAGAAGAAAACTGATTGATACAAGTCTTGTAGTTCAAAATACATCGATCGTTTACCAACTTTGCCAAAGCTACTATTCAAAAAATTACTATACTACCGTTGTTCATTCTTCTCATCTCAGTTTATTTTTTATCGACTGAAGTATTTGTTATAAGAAAAATAGGTTAAATACATAATCAAGATTTGTAAAATGATACTAATGTAATCTATGTACACACATTAGTAGTAATCCTTATAAAATGTTCTTAAAGTAGAAAGAAAAAAAATGAGAGATTTAAGCATAACAATAACAGGGATAAAGATGATGATAAATGACATACCTACGTGCATATGTAATCACTATATTTATTGTAGGCAATCTTAGTATCGGTATAACATTGATTCTGAAGATAGTTTTCAGTTTTTCTTCTTGTAACATTGATATTATAATGGCGATGAACAGGGATGATTTCGCGAGTAAAATACGCTTACATACAATATTGCTTGTTATTACTGTTTTAATTTTGTTAATAATAGTTGCTCTGGTAGCAGCTATATTAAGTGTGATCACGATCCAGAAGAGTAACAATAATGTGAATGAGATTATATCAACAACGGCAATCACTAGTATCAACGAAACATTTACATCAACATTAATAGTATCGAAGAATCTATTAGACACCATCAATTCTACTCAGCTGATGTTTCATCTGAAACAATTACAAACAATTGCTGATAAAAACAATGGAACACGTACTCTTGGAACATCAGGTTTTAAAGCCACACTTGACTACATCGAGGCACAGTTAAGATCGAAAACCAATTTTCAGATATTTAAACAAGAGTTTTTCGTACCTGTATTGGTAACAAGTAATCCTATTCTCACTTCCACAATTGATGGTATTGATAAAAATTACACGTATGGAACAGATTTTCGTGAGATAATATACTCGCCAGCGGCCAATTTTCTCACATCTATTCATCTCACAGTAGTGCCCAATTTTGGATGTGATGATAACGACTGGAAAGATGCCACACCATATCCAGTTACTGATAGTGTTATACTTGTTATGTATAGCCAAAACTGTTCTGTGACCGAAACGAGTATTGTGGCACAAAAATACAATATTAGCGGTCTTTTGGTATATGATAGTAATATCAATGGCACATATTTGCCGTTTATTATTGGTGCTCAAAATATAACTTATCCAGCTATGATTCTCTCCTACGAATTAGGTACACAGTTAGTAGAAGCAACGAAAAATCATTCATTGACCAATCCAAGTGTTCGAATGTTTATCACTCCTGGAAATACAATTACGAGACAGACCTCGTCAGAAAATATATGTGCTGACACACCAACTGGAAATAAAACTCAGACAATAGTCATCGGAAGTCACAGTGATAGTGTCGCATATAGTCCAGGAATCAATGATAACGGTAGGTTATTTAACTTTTGCATGCTGAATTTCGAATAAATTCTCTGAGCTTGTACAGGTAGTGGCGCAATGGCGACTCTAGTACTGGCCCTGAATTTAGCTCATTTATTTCAAACATTATCCTATGAAGAATATCTGTATCGCATTCGATTCTGTTGGTGGGCCGCAGAAGAAAATGGCTTGCTTGGATCATACCATCATATTGAAGAAGCTAATGTTACAGCTGTTGAAGGTAACCGCTTGAAAGATTATGTAATGGTGTTGAATTTCGATATGCTCGCATCACCTAACTATTTTTTTGGTATCTATGAAAGTACTTCACTACCAGATACAGTATCATCAACTGTCAAGAATGCCTCGTTAAAAATTTCACAATTATTCCGTAACTGGTTTGACAAAGAAAAACTACCATGGGATGATACTTCTCTTTTTAGCATTAGTGATCATTTTGCATTTGTAGTTGCGGGTGTTGCATGTGGTGGCACATTTTCAGGAGCAGCCGGTATTAAAACATTTGAACAACGAGATCGATACAATAGAATGTTAGGTCATGGGCATGGCGGAATTGCCGGTGCAAGCTTTGATCCATGTTATCACCAAGCATGTGATACAATAGAAAATATTAACCCATTTGTTTACGAGACAATGGTGAAATCAGCTGCCTACGCATTAGAAACGTTCGCTCGCATACCAGATCTATATTTGTGGTTATATCAATCATCAACGACTACGAAAAATTAATGAGATTCTATCTATCGGCGTCATGATTACCGTATAATCATAATACATTATGCTTTCGTAAAAAGAATTTACTTGACATAATAAAGAAATAACATATTCTATATTATTTTGAGTATGTCTACGTTTTGAAGAAAACTGGAATTGAGCTTCCGCCTCATATTTTTTTTACAACTAATTAAATGAAATTTATCACGACAATCGATATTCTACAGTGAAAAATTTCACATATTGTATAGTCCTCTATATATTAAAAGATTCTTCTCACCTCTCTTCTGATAATCGGTCTTTTAGTGTTGCTATAGTTTATTGGTTTTTTTTCCGAGTTCTGTAAATGTTGATATATAATTTTGGTGTGTACTATATTTCGCTTTCGTCATCTCAACGATATGTCAATTCTGAATTGGATAATTCATAAAAAAATTCATAAAAGAGAATGACTAAAACACGTTTCTCTTTTGAAAAAATATGTTCTGATGATACTGCTTGTAGAATTCTTTTAAAGTACGCTTTGAAGGAATTTCGTACATTTTTTTCGCGAAAAGATGCGTTCCCTACAGTCACAGCATATGATCGGTACTGGCCATGTCCAAACCCGACACACAAAAACGGCTCTTTCTCAAATAGAAACATATTATGTAAAAATTTGTTTTATATTAATTTAGAACACATTCTAAACTCATAAAATATGTCTGAAGGTACGCCTGTGAGCGTGTTGTATGAAGAATGCATTCTTTAGTCGAGAATGTATCCCTTTTTCACAAAAAAACCTACTGTTCAAAATGTGTCCAAAAGAACGATAAAAATATCGGTTAGTATATAATCAAACGTAACTTTTTGTAAACTGTTTTTTTCATAGATAATCGAATAAAATTAAATAAGTCACAGGATATGATCAAGCTTTTGATGCATTTCAATTAGAATACACTCTATATACACCAATTATAACTTAACTTACGTAATTAAATTTTCAAAAATATGAAATAAAAATAGTTTAACTTCCTCTTCTGTCCGCTGCGTAGTTATGAGAAATGATGAATTTTGCCCGTGATCTATCTTATTGTTCGGAAAATATACTACTATTAGAAATCGTGTCAAGCTTTCAATGACTGATTGATTATATTGTTTAAAGAAGAGCGGTCTTCTTGCCAATGATGCTTCTTTCCATAATATTAGGGTAGAAAAAGTAAAATAGTTTCATCTACCAATAATGTATAGAATTAAAAAATGATTCATATTGGAATGTATCATTTAATAGAAGGCTTTCCTGTAGCTTGTGAATGATAAGACAAAGTTATCTATAACTTTTTGACGGCTACATCAAGGTACTATCTGTACATTTTCAAGGGTTATCTTGAGGTAGTATCAGTAACTTCTTTTGTGGGGAGAGGCTATTTCGAGCTACTACTCTGTAAATTTGTAAGAGCTATTATCGGAATTTGAAAAAAAGGCTAGTGGACACAATGCTTATAACTTTTGAGCAAAGATAGTTAGAGACCTGCGGCTTTCACCATTCGATAAGAGGGCCTGTGGGACGTGAATCTGTGAAGAAACTAAAATTATTCCAGTTGTTTTCGATACTAGTTTCAGCAGACGAAATTTGACCGAGCTACCGAGGCTTTCGAAAAAAAAACAATCTTTTATTTTTTTTTGCAGACCTACTTCTTTAGAGACCACTCTTCAAAATGGTATCTAAGAAGTCGCTCGATTTTGCTTCCTTCGTGGAGTTACAGCCATTTTATTCAACCGAACACTCACAAGACACTTTTCCCTAGTGAAGAGAAAAAAATTCAAAATACAGGTTATCTACTGCGCTGATCAGGATAAGAGTGTTTATTTGGAGTTCAGACGAGTTTTTCTTCGCAGAACTAAATGAAACAGGTTTAGTCCAGTCTTATTTAACGGCATCTCGCTGCTTGTTCTCTCCTCGTTCTATAATTCCAAGAGTTTCACGGGAGAAGCTCCTCTCAGATTTGCACCTAACGTTGTGCGTGGGTGTGGGTGGGTGTGAGTGTGTGTAGGTGTGTGGGTTTGAGTGTTGTTAAAGTCCAGATCCACACGCATATCCACTCACACCCACACACCCACATCCACTTACACCCACACACCCACATCCACCCACACCCACACACCCACATCCACCCACACCCACCCACACCCACACACCCGCATCCACCCACACCCATACACCCACATCCACACCTGCCCACACCTACACCCACACCCCACATCCACCCACACTAAATCTTCAAATTAGAAAAGTTAACTTTAGCTGGATTAGTCGAGATTATAATTGTTTTGAATAGTTTTTTAATCTTCTTCATCAGTTTGAACAAGAACAAGATGTATATTTAGCATTAAATCCGAATGAACATCGTTTTTTGACTATTTATCTATATTTTGCCGAAATGAAAAGTAGTGAATACACTGGTTATCATCCATTGCAACTTATGACTCGAGTATGTGCAGAAGTCACCGAAAAAGATATATTATAGATTTAAATTCTCTACGTTCTCAGTGTGAGTAAAACTATTCAAAACTAAACGCTCATTTTTATTGATAGTCTGCCACGACATTTAATGCAAAAGAAACGCAAGATGAAATCACGTATAAAAATCATGTCTTTCAATTTAAGAAAATTGAATGCCACCATCAATCATAATACTCTGTCCAGTCATATAGTCGGAGTCTTTACTAGCAAGGTATGACACAAAATTTGCCACATCTTCAGGTTCACTTGTACGACCAAGAGCAATGCGCTTCTTTGACTGATCTTCGATGACTTCACCCTTTTGCTTCCCTTCAATTTTTGCCAATTCTTCATCAAGCATATCCCACATTGCCGTTCGAACAATTCCTATTTTTCTTTTGAAATATATATTTTAAAGTAAAAAAATAGCACGAAACATACCCGGACAATAAGCATTAACTGTGATGTTGTATTTGGCCCATTCTATAGCAGCAGCTTGCGTAAGACCACGCACACCCCATTTACTAGTAGAATAAGGACCCAATAAAGGAGACGGCCTATATCCGACAACACTACATGCAGCAATAAGTTTGCCTCCGGTTCCTTGTGCAATCATCACTTTAGCAGCTTCTTTGTAGCAAAAAAATACACCACGCAAGTTAGTTGCAAATATTCTGTCCCAATCTTCTGTTGTCACATCAAGAAGTGGTTTGACCTGATTGATGCCTGCATTTGCAACTACGACCTATATGTTTTTTCAATAATAAATAGTGGAATGAATATGAAACAAGAGTATTTACATCCAAACTGCCTAGTTCTTTGGAAGCCTTTTGCATCATTGCTTCGACTTCCTTATCGATAGAAACATCAGCAATAATTGCCACCGATTTTCGACCAAGTTCTTCAATTTCTTGTCGAACTTTGCTGAGGTCGGAAGAGTTTGCTTCAATATCATTGACGGCAACATTGAGACCATCTCGAGCAAGACGCAGAGCAATGGCTCGTCCAATACCTCGAGCAGAACCAGTAACTAGAGCATTTCGTGACATTTGCAACAGTAACAAAGAGAAAGAATATGAAATGAGAAAAATATTTTTATGATGTCGTTGCGCGATAATGATATGAAAGTCTTTCGATAGAGCAACATACTCTTTGATAAGGATAGAAACATATTGTTTAGAGAGCTATTAACCATCGAGAAAGACTTTATCATCACTTAAACGTGACTTGTTTTGTTGAAAGAGATGTTGTTATTGTTAGCTATGCTTTTTTAAAACTGATTTACCTGCTCGTTCTAAAAAAATTCTATGGATTGTTGAGAAAGATCAACGTAGTCAGTTTAATATTGAATATTCTTTCGTCCTAAGATAGAAATACTCAAATTACATGCTCGAGATCCAAACAGACCAGGCAGATTCTTACGACATGTCAGGCAGGCCGCTTAAAATTGTCAGGCCACCTGATCTGCCCAGGTTTTTTTCAAAATGAAAATTTTATTGAATAAACTGAATTTATTAGTAGAAAATATATTCATTTGAAGTAGTTTTCAAGGATAAGATTTAAATATGATGCGTTAGATAAATACTTTAGAATAAGAATTGAAGATAAACATAAATTATCGAATCTACCAATGTTAAGAGCTTATCAAGATAGAGAAGGAGCTCGATAAGTTATTAAATCTTTCCCATCGAAAGATTTGTTTCTGGGTGTGAGTGTGGGCGGTGGTGTGGATGGAGTGGGTGTGGGTGGGGTTGTAGGTGTGATTAGAGAGAGAACACTTACCCACATCCACCCCATCCACCCCACCGTCCACAGCCACACCTACACCCACCCACGCTCACATGGCTGTGGGTATGTTTACATAAGAATAATAATTCCAAGCATCATACGACGCATTTCGACTATTGCTTAGATAGTCATCATGAGGTATTTTATATTGATTGCTGGATGTAGATGATTATTGAATTTCTAAATAAAGTTTTGTGTTGAAGTAATATTGGCTATAGAATTGAAAGTTGACTAACCCGATGAAATGATGTCGATTCTTGAAATGAGATGGATTTTGTCGAATTGTATGGAAATCATTGAAATTATAGCATTAACGGTTATGTTGATAATAAAATATATTGGTAAGTAATCAACGACAGTTTCTAAATCGACGGTTATGATTTGAGTTCGTGACATGGAGGTTCTTGTGCATGGTTGGGGTTTTATTTTTTTGGTTTTCGATGATTGACGACGGGTGTAGTGTACAGTTGTGTTTTTATATTACTTTATGAATGGAGATTTATCTAAAAGAAATGTTAACTTTGTAATACGTTAGTGATTTTTGTAGAAAATATTTTATGGTTTAGATAAAGTATAGAAGGAGCAGTAGAGTAACATTTATTTTCAGTAATTTTAAGTAAGAGATACAATATTATTATCTTTTCAGAAGGAAGAATGTTTATTGTCGAGATTATGTATTATAGTTATCGGTTGTAAGTGAAGATTGGTTGATGTTTGTCTTTCTTCCATACGTGTCAGCATGCTTTTGAAGGTTTCTTGTGGATAAAGAATGTTTCTAGAATCGAATTTGTACTTGGTACTAGTCGAACTTTAACATTTTTCAAAGTTGATCCGTTATATGCATAGTATGTTCGCCACCATTTATTAAATTTTGTTCTGAAATTGATCGACGTAGAACTGTCGAAGAGATAACGTGGATATATTATGTTTGGATAGCATATCTTCTGTTGCAATACTGTTGGTGATCGAATTGAATCTTGTGTCATAAGATGAAGTTGTTTTTCACGTCGTGCAGGTTGATACAATAATTTTTGATGTAGCCTATGATAAACTGGATCATTCAATTGATTTAAAACAGGCATGACATTGTTCAGTTGGAAGAATCGATAGATTTGTTTTGTGATACAAATTGGTGGATAACTATTTAATAATAGTGACATATCAATACGAATACATTCTGTGTTGAAGTCCTGTACATCAGAACAAATATGAGCAGCACGTAGTAGAGCAGCATATGGTATATTACGATGAATATGTCGTGGATGATCGGATGTGTATGGTAATATATAAGGTTCAGCTGTTGGTTTATGGTAAAGACAGGTTTTTAGTTGATCATGCTCGCTGATTATAGCAATATCCAAAAAGTCAACTGATGTATTAATTTCGTAGTGAATTTTGATATTAATATCTTTATTGGCTGCTTTTTCGAGTTCTATTTTAATTTCATCTATGGTCTGATTGGTTGTCATGAATATATCGTCGATGTATCTACAAGAGATAAACATTAGTTAACTCAATGTTTTCCATTTAATAAATGTTTAACAAACCTTCCATATATTCCGTTATGTTTTTGTTGATGTTTGATTAGATCTTGTTCCCCATTTATACATATAGATACTAGCTAATAGTGGCGGAGCCAGACTACTAGCGCCCCTCTTGTTTGGGGGGGGGG